TTGATGTGATTGGGGATCAAATTGAATATAACTAACCAATGTACAGTACACTATTGAAGACAATATGTACTATTGGCTAAAAGCACAAAACCACAATCCAAAACAAACAAGAGTGTTCAATGTATTAATATTTGGGGTGGGCAGGAAAATATCTGATTATAGTCAATAAAAAGTAAAGATTAATTTTCTTCCAGGAAGAACAGAATTTATATTTTACACAGAGTGATATAAAAATATTATTAGTACAGTAATACTATCATGACTAGAAATGAAACTATTACTTAATCAAAAAAATGGTCACTTGCTTCTAACCAGTATCACAATTCACTTGACAGATCTGAGGTTTCCTTAACCAAGTTTTTCTTTAACTTGCCATTTTTACCTCACACATAGTCTGCCACACGGAGCAGCAGCTTGCTATAATAGATGAACACTGTGGTAGGCTAACACAAGGAAATGCACAGAGCCAAAAACAACTATAATATAAACAGCATTTTGAAGGAGAAAGAACTTTCTTTTTAAATTTTTTTTGTATTGTATTTATTTCACTCCCAGAGTTGCCTCAATCTTTTTTTTTTTTTAAAGATTTTATTTATTTATTTTTAGAGAGAAGAGAAGGAAAAGAGAGGGAAAGAAACATCAATATGAGAGAGAGACATCAATCAGTTGCCTCTCGCATACCCCCAACTGGGAAACCTGGCCAGCAACCCAGGCATGGGCCCTGCCTGGGAACAGGACCAGCGACCTTTCCATTCACAGGCTGGCACTCAATCCACTGAGCCACATCAGCCAGGTTGAATTTTCTAATAAAAATGCTCAATGGAGATGTCTTTGAAGACAAACTATTTAAGTCAGCCTTGAAATATCACTTAATATAGTAAGAAAAATTCCCTTCATGGTATTTGACTTTCTATGCAATTCATAACCTGGTTCTTTCTTATAAACCTTTGAAAGTGTTGTGAACAGAGTATATCATACTAGAGAGTCAAAAAGGTTTTGATTACTCATTAACAACTTGAGGATTCTTAGGTTATATTTCAGGTTATTTAGAGTAAAATTTTTAAAATGTGGTTGCTCATGTAGAATCATATCTGAAGATGTTATACCCAAATATATCTTATCTTTTAAATGCATGTATTCTTAGAACTGTCTCACAGTTCATTTTAAGGCAATAAATTAAATAACATGTTATCTTAAATATATTGTTTCTAAATTATTAATATCAAGTAGAAAGAATTTACATCTTTGTTATGCCAAAGAGTAATTTAAATATCTCTCAAAATCATTTTCTTTTCACATAGTATAGTACATTATCACCTGATAACTTTGCCTCTTGTCAAACAGAAACAAACCATTGTACTAGGCTCAAAATTTTTTGTGAAAAAAATATTTAAGAAAGTAAATCATAAATGTAATTAAACCCCAATGAAATATGTTAAACAATTATTGGGGAAGCAGCTATTATTCTGACCATCCACATTGGCATAACAATAAACAGTTTAACTTTATAGGGTTTTTTACTAATCTTGCTGGGAATGATTCCCATGATTTTAAGAACAGAGACTCTATACTTCTCTCTTTACACTTGGAATAATGTCTAGAAGATGGGAATCCCAAATTATACTAGTTTCTTGATTCCATAAAAGTAGATTCTCTTCCTTGTTCTTCAGTATTTAACTAATGTGATTGCTGCCTATAAATATCGTAAGCATCAACCAGCAATATATGGAAAGTTTTTTGTCCCTTTGGACCATTTGTGACATCAATAATGACAGGATTCTTTCCAAACCACAATTTTTTCCTCTCAAAACTCTTCTCTAATATATTTTTGCCCCATCATTGCTCTATTTTTAATATTTCTTCTGAACTATGACAGGCATGTTTATTATAGGAAACTTGAATAATAAATAAAATTAAAAGGAAAAATACCCATAATTTTGTCAATTTTTTCCTGCAGGATTTTGATGAAATAATTACAATTTTCACTTCTTTTTTCAATGCTAGGAAAACATCTTTAAAAGAATTCACTCAGGCTTTTGATAAATTTGGTTAACATGGCTAATCACATCCTCTGTCTACTAGAAAAGCAATGAAAGTATTGCCTCACAGGTACAGTTGAATTCAGAAAATTAAATGCTGGCATGACTTCACTTCCTCTGTATGTGTTTCTTCTTCACAAACATCATTTTAATAGATGTGTCAAGGATCGCTATCAGTTATAGAAAGCCTTATTTAATGATATAATCTTCACATCAACCATAACAGTAAGTTATCATTATTCTCACTTTATAAAAGAGGTCTGAAATCAATCACACAGCTCTTAGGTGGTAAAGTGAAAATGTTAGGGGATTTGAACCCTGCTCTCTCTGCTTCCAAGAGCATCCTTTCCACTACAGCCTAACACCTCATCACAAATATCATGATCTGCTTAATTAGGCCCTGTGGTTGAGCACATCAAATGCTCCAGTACCTTTTATTTTTTTAAACTAATAACAATAATGTTGGAAGTAATACCTTGATGTGCTTTATTTATTTTTATTATGATTCTTCCCCCCAAAAAAGAGCTTTAGGGTTTGGATTATTGCATTAAAAGCAGGAATATTTTTAGGTAATTTGTACAAATTACCAATTGCTTTCTTCAGTGAGATTATTCAAATTATAATCCAATCAGCAGAGCATGAGGCTTCCTCCTTCATTGTGTCCTTTATAATAATCTTTGTTAATTTAATAGATGAAAATGGTTTTTTTGCTGTTAACTTTAAAATAATTTTTTGATTACTATAATTCACTGTGTTTTAATACATCAATTCTCCATTCTATAGAGTGAACCTTGTACAAGGGCTAGCTAAGTCCCTGTACCAGAAATGGGAAGATACGGGAGTGGTCTTTAGACTTTTCATTCCCTTTATTCATTCAACAGTTATCCAGTTCCCACTTTAGGTAAAGCACTGTGCTCGTATTCAAGATATAAAGATGAAAGCCCATCTCTGACTTCACAGAGCTTGTGAACTAGCAAGAGAAACAGACACAAACAATTATAGCACAGCATGACTAGTAGTGTGACTAAAGTAACAGAGGAAAATGGCTTTGAGAAATACAGAGAAAGGCACTTAAGCCATATTCGGGGAGGTCTCGGAGGGCGTTGTGGAGATACTGAGGCTTGAGCTCCATCTTGAAGAGAATTGGAAGTTAACCAGATTTTCCATAACATATCCAACCAGAATTAACAGCTTCCTCATCTGTGTGTGCTTCTTTACAAATGTGTATTGTACATTTGTCTCTATGTCTCTTACTCTCTCACTGGGCTGAGCTTCTTGAGGGGGTGGACTAGATCCCTAATTAGCCTATTACAATGTCATGAAAAGTAATAATAAAGTAAACATTAATTGAATTATTTTGAAATCCTAGCCTTGTTGTAGTTTTCTCCCATAACTTCCTGTTGATTTATATAAATATTTCAGGTTGTTTTTTGTTTACCGTAAAAATATTGTTCACCACATACGAATCAGGATGGAAGGAAAGAATGAAAAATAGGAAGTGTTAGTGAAGAATTTGGAACAACAGGAATGTTCACATTTTGCTGGATCTGGAGCAATAGGAATGCTCACACATTGCTGGAAGCAGTAGAAATTGGTACAACCACTTTGGAAAGCTGTTGGATCATATCTCATAAGCCAGCAATTCCACTCTTAGGAATAAACTCAACACAAGTGCATGCAAACATTTACCAAGAGGCATATTTTTACCAAAAGTGGCATTACTGATAATAGTGCCAAACTAGAAAATACACAGATACTCATCAACAGTAGAATGGATAAACTTACTGTGTTATGGTCACAAACGGCAAGGAAAAAACTCTACATTCAACTCTATGAAAGAATTTCATAAAAATAAGTTTGGTTATTTAAGAGCTAGATTTTTTGAAAAGCACTTGTATGATTACTTTTACATAAATCACAAAAATAGGCAAAACTATGCTCTTAGAGATCAGGAAAAGTCAGCTGGAAGTAGGACTTAGTGACTTAGGAAATAGGAAGGGGGAGCTTCTGGATGTGCTGGTAGGGTCCTATTTGTTGATCTGGGTGCAGGTTACACGTGTAAATTGAGTTGGTGCCCTTTGCTGTACGTACAACTGACCCTTGACCTGCCACAGTATAACTTGTCAGCCCTTCTCATACATGGATTCCCAACCATGGATTGAAAAAGTGTATTTAGTTTTTAAAAAAATAATAATAATACATTTTATTTGAAAGAAGCTGAAAAATACAGAAATGTTTTGAAAAATTTAAATCACCCAAAATGCATGATCCAGAAATAACTACTATTAACATTTTGAGTTATTTCCTTCTAGTCTTTTGAAGTCATGGTGCTTGTGCTATACCTCCTCTCCTTCTCTGCTCCCCACATATTTACACACACATATTTTACCAAATTAGGTTCATTTTTACTTAGTTTTACTTCTGGTTCTTATTTTTACTTGAAGTTAATCCTTATCAAATATTCATTGCAAACATGTTTTTAAAGCTTCAGCCATATATATTCCATCAAATGTGTGTGCGTGTGTGTATACACATATATACACTTTTCTAGGAATATATGATTAGGAATATTATATATTATACATATAAAGTCCTAGAATAGGAGCTACTAGGTCATGAACATTTTTCAAGCTCTGCATTCGTTTTGTACTTCCTTCCGGAAAGGTTGCATCCCACTGGCAAGGTGTGAGTACTCCTTGTATCAGAATCCAAACCCAGGTCATTTATTATTATTTCTACGCGTTTTTAAGACACTGGGACTTAAAACAGGACTAAGGAATCTGCCGTTTTACATCCAGCTGAGGAACTCAGCAGGAACCAGCTTTTTCCCCACACCCCTACTATCCAGGCTCTCTGGCTCACAACCTGCGCCTCTTCACCCGCGCCTCCGCCTGCCTGCCTGCCTGCCTGCCTGGCTCTGGGGCTGCGTGCGCCCGGCCCCCAGCGCCGCACCGCACTGTTGCTGGGGGAACAGGAAACCCAGCCGTGAAACGCACAGAAACCCAGCCATGGAGCTGCCGGATCCGGTCCGCCTGCGGCTGGGAAACTTCAGCCGGACAATGTTCCAGGACTCAAACCGGACAGGCCCCGAGTACAACGAAGGTCCGGGTGAGTGGCCCGCCCAGGACCTGGCTCGGGTTTGGAGCAACGGATTATGCCAGTACCTAAAATGGCAGTTTCGCCTTCAGCTGGTTCTCTGCAGTGCGGGGAGCACCCTGGATGAGAGGCCACGCCGAGAGAGAGCTGGGGATGGGACGTAGCTGGGCCCTGATGGCTGATCATGCTGAGGCCGGGCCCACGAATTGCAAGCAGGGCGGCCGAGGCGGCGCTGGCCGTCCTCAAAATAATATAAATACTACAAAAGCCGCTTTCGCAGCACTCATCTGCGAAGGCCGGTGTTGCTTTTCCTCGGCGGCGTCTGCCCTGGCTTTTCTATCCTAGAGTGAGGGAATCACTCCTTCCCACTCCCCACAACCACCCCGGTAAAATATCTTTTCCTTTTCTTCTTTCCTAACAGAATAAGTACGTTCCACCACAGGCGGTTTTCTGGCAGAAGAGATGGAAAAGGGTTTTTTTGTTTTTGTTTTTTTTTTTAATGAATCATTTTAAACCACTATCCACTGCAGAGTGATGGCCACACTAGCATCGCTTGCAATGGAACACTCCCCCTTCCTGCTTCTCCTTACCCTCCCCTGCGCATAGCTCTTCACTTCTGGTTACAAAATATCATGATGCTACTACTTGCAACCTGACGACAAGGAATAACGCAGTTTCCTTTAAAAACAGTTTCCCCTTCTTAAATCATGATGATAGACAATGTGCTATCAACCAAATCCGTATGGTTTTTATCACTGAACTCTGCTGGAAACAGAAATCTTTTTCTCTTTCTTGGTTTAGGAATTGTTAAAAGCGTCAGACAAAAGTAAAGTCAGTTTCTATAGTTGCATTTTTTTTTCTACTTGATTACTTGCCTGTCCCTCCCAAATTTAGGCCTCTTCATGATTTAGGATGTACAGAGAAAAACATAATGTGAAAAACTAGATTTTTACTTTTCCATTTCTAAAGCTAAGGCTTAACAGGCTCTAAAATCTGATGAGGCAAGGGGTCAGGGGTCAGCAGACATTTTCTGTAAAGGGCTGGATAGTAAATATTTTAGATTTTGTAGGCGGTAGATCTCTGGCAGCTGTAGATAGTGGTAACTGGGTAGGCAGGGCAGTGTTCCAAAAAACTGTATTTGTGGATACTAAAATTTAAATTTCATGTGATTTTCCTTGTCAAAAAATATTATTCTTTGATTATTTTCCACCAAGCATTTAAAAATGTGAAAAAACACTTTTAGCTCACTTGCTATACAAAATCAGGCAGTTGGCTGGTAGGTTGCCTATCCCTGATTTAGATTATAAATGTTTAATTTAAATTCAATTTACAGAACTCAACTTAGACTTTTGCAAAATTTAGTGAATTCATGTCTGTGCTTTCAAGGTTAATTTACATATTAATTTGATTTTCGGTTGCATGATTATCAGTTCGATCTGCTGAAATTCAGATATAGCAAAACTCTTAAGATGTTATTGGACAAAATTTTTAACATAAAAACTTCTTTGCAAAATTTGACTACAGTTCCTGCTCCAAAGGTATTAAAATTTTTAGCTTAACTAATTTATCATTTTTCTACATTTTCTTTGTGGATCTGGTGTAAGTTTGATTATTTGTATTATAATTACAAGTGTATCATTACCGTGTCCACAGCTGACCAAGAATTGTACTATTATTATGAAAAAAAAAACAAAACCCTAGAATGGCGAGTTGCCTTCAGATTTGACAGGTTTTAAGACTTCATTCTTTTATCAGTAGTAATTTAATAAATAGGTGCAAGCAAAGTACTGTATATCATAATTATGACTTTAAAAAGTAGATCATAATGATCAGACATATTCTTGGGGACTAAAAGAAACCTTGTTATGAGGCCATGATTATCCCTTATAGTTTAAAATTATTAAATGACAGGTATAAGTTGTGGAGAAAAAGAAAAATAATCTGTTTTTAAGAAATTTATTTGAGAGACTTTGTAAATTCTTACAGTTAGAACAATTGATTTCTAAGTATGTATCTGCTCCTGTTAGAATTTAGTAAAATTTAGGGTGAGAATGTAGGATTCAATTTAAAAAATAAAATTCTTATTTTAGGACCCTTCTCCATTACATAAAAGCAAAGATTGATTGTACAATCAGTCTTAGATAAATGAAATTCATGTATCACAAATGACAGTCTGTTCTCATTAATTCATTCTGTTTATGTGTTTTTGATATTTATGATCTGTAAAGCAAGATGCTAGATTCTGTGAGGGTCTCAAATTTGGGTAACATGTGGTCTGTGTTTATATTGAGGCTGTTTATAAGTGAAAGAAAAGGGACGGGGACATATATTTATTATCTAGTGCCTCCTAAGTGCCAGGCATGGTGCTAGAGTGAAATGTATTATCTCTAATCCTTACAAGCAATCTGTGAGATCACTTTAATGTTACCATTTTACAGATGAAGAAATTGAAGGTCAGAGAGGTTAAATAACTTATCTTAAGTCTGGTATCTAGAGTTACTGGGAAGTTTGGGGACTTCCAGGTTTATTTGGACTCCAAAGCTCATGATCTCTTCACTATACCAGACTGTGTCTTGAGTACACTATACCAGATGGACGGCTGTGGTAGGAGCAAAGGCCTTTAGTTAAGGCCTGGCTCCAACTTTACCTCTTCTGTCACAGAGGTCTGTTTGCTTAATCTCATCAGCCTTGATTTCTTTATAAATAAAATGGAGAACATGGTTCTCTGCTAACACTTCTTATACACAAGTTAGAGCGATAACCTACAAGGGAGATTTCTACTGGAGTCGGCGAGTACAATCAAGAAAAAATTTATGGAAAAGTGACATTTAATTGAATATTAATGAATGGGTGGTATTAGGGTATGCTGAAAAGGGATGTGTATATAATTAAACTTTGGGGAGATTCCTTTTTGTATGATATTAGTTTATATGTGAGAAAATAATTTTCATGTATTTTATGTATTCATTTTACAGGCTCTTTACACAGAACTCTACAAAGGCAGTAATAGCAATTATTGTGTCTCAATGGGATTTATATCGATATTCTGCTTCTAATCTATACCAGTAGTGTGCCGAAAAGTCAGCAGAATCTAATGGCAAAATGCTAAAATAATTGAAAATGTGAAATATACCCCCAAGTAGACGATATATGAACTAAATAGTATGATGGTGAATATTTCCTTTCACTGGCAATGATTATAATGAGGCTTAAAATTTGGAGTTTTGTTGAGCCAATATGATAGTTATTTAAGGAACTAAAGGATTTATAGGCATGGACCAGGAATAAGAGTTTGTCCCTTTTCTCTCTATTTCTGTCGTAGATAATGAAATGGTTTCCAGTTTGGCATTGCAAATGTCACTTTATTTTAATGCTTACTTTTTCCCACTTTGGTGGGTGAGCAGCATTATAATGCTTCAAGTGAAGGTAAGTCTATACCCTAATACTTCTGCTAAGGTCTCTTTTGCACATCCTTGGCATTGTTGTATTGTCAATAAAATATAAGTTCTTAATTTCTTTTTAATCTCAGGTCAATTTTACTATATGTGAGATTTTACAAACATGTTTATTTTTGTTTTTTTTAGTATCCAATTTTGCCTGATTACTACAAATTCATTGTTGTCACCGTTATCATCCTAATAACCTTAATTGAAGCTATCAGGTTATATCTGGGCTACATGGGTAACCTACAGGAAAAGGTAGGCTCCTCTTCCCTTTCTTTCAGTACTACACATAAATGCAATAAGGTTTTCATAGCAAGGGAAGGGCGGACGGCTGTGGTAGGAGCAAAGGGCTTTAGTTAAGGCCTGGCTCCAAATTTACCTCTTTTGTCACTGAGGTCTGTTGGCTTAATCTCATCAGCCTTGGTTTCTTTATAAATAAAACGGGGAAAATAAAATAAATAAATAAAATGGGGAAAATATTTCACAGTTTTGTTGGGATTAAATGAAATAATCTATATAAAGTACCTAACACAGTAAGCAATTAAGAAGTGATCATTTTTTCTCTTCTCGCCAGTCTTGAAAATAACTTGGTCAATTAAACATGTTTATTTGGATCCTTAGTAAGAAAATGGGAGGAAATTATAAGCTCATTTTCTGTACTGGGCACATGTTTTCTGAATCATCATGCTGCCTAAGCAGGTACAGCTAGTTACCAGAGTTTAGGGATAATGCCTAAAGATTCCTAAGATTTCCTAGGCCATTCATAACTAGCCCCACCAAGGCCTGTCTCACTGTATTTCTTGCTATTTCCTAAACTAAGCATCCATTCTATGCTGACATGTTGATTCCCAGTCATGCTCATCCCACGTCTTTGCCTAATTACCTTCTTGCCTCTTCCTCTTTCTACCCTGCTTTAAAAGCCTATATCCTAAATTCTTTCACCTACCCTAATCCCTCTCTTGTCTTAACTTCTTGTAGCAGTCAGTCTATATTCTAAACGGTACATTTAATTATTCACTAGGTGTAGTATTCTAGTGTTGTCACATAAGTTAGTTTTCTAATGTAGACTGTAAGTTCTCTGAGGACAAGGACCGTGTTTTACTCCTTTTGAATTACAGAGAGTACAATATAGGTTCATAGTAGTGTAAGCATTTGCTTGTCTGTATAAACAAAAGACTGTACTTCACTGATCTGATTACTCTTAATATGTGTCATTTCAGGTTCCTGAGTTGGCTGGCTTTTGGCTTTTGAGCCTTCTATTGCAGTTGCCTTTAATTCTTTTCTTGCTCTTTAATGAAGGCCTAATGAATCTGCCCTTGGAAAAGGCAGTACACATCATCTTCACTATGTTCCTTACTTTCCAAGTTGTTTCAGCATTTCTTACCTTGAGGAAAATGGTAAATCAGTTGGCAACTCGTTTCCACCTCCAAGACTTTGACAGGCTCTCTGCAAATAGAGGAGCTGTGAGAACAATGAGATCCTGTATAGAAGAGATTTAACCCAGTGCTGTTTAGTGAAGATCTGAAAGGTCATTCTCAAAGACTGCAAGAGTTAGGAAAACATCAGAGATCTAGCATGAGAAAAAGGACAATGCAAGTGCTTGGAACTGCATACTCTCCAGCAATGAAATGCAAAGGTAGAGGGTGATGACAGACTGTACCGTGCAAGAAAGCAGTAAGTCAACGCTGAAGCCTAGGTGTTTTCCACCGATGCCAAATATCTTAATTTTTTGGTTGTTGTTGACTTTCTCAGGTGTGTAGAACGCTGTGTTGATGGTTAGTTTATCATCTTCACAGCAATATTTCTCCTTAGTATCTACCACATTTCTAGTTAGAAATGTGTGTATTCCTTTTAAACTTGTAGCTATCCATGTCTTAGCACATGGAAATGCTTATCAATATTGTGGTATATTAGACTATATTTGTAAACCAAGACACCAAATTTTCATGTATGCTAGGGTTAAATTATAACCCTAATCTCAGCTGTTACCCTGAGGTTAAGAAGAGAACAAGTGGATTATCATGGTATTTAGGAAATATTTTTATCATAAAATTGTAACTTTCATAAAACCATGTTCAGTATTTATGGAGATAGTGGTATGCAAAATGTCTTTACAATAAATTATAAAATATTTATATTAAAGTATTTGTAACAAATCATTCATGTCTTACACAGTTCTTTTGGCTGTGGGTTTATTTTTATTACACAGTTGCAAGGGATGGAAGGAGAAAAAATATGTAGTAGAGAGCTTTACATCAGTATGTAGTGGGCACTGAACTAAGCACATTAATCCTTGTGATCTCATCTCCTAAATCATTATTCACTGAAGAACTGCCTCATACCCATAAATTCATATGAGGCTTGATTTGAAAACCAGGGTGCCTCTTAAACCACAGTGAGAGCTAAGGTGACCAAAGGGACTATACTCATGATCATAAATAAGCATGTTTCCTTGCTACTAGGAAAAACCTACTTAAGGAAATTCTGGTAAGAGCTTGCATGGGTGTATCTGAACATTATAGTAAAGTGACTATATATGACTGTCTTAAGAGATATACAGTAGTCCCCCCTTATCTGCAAGGGATATGTTCTAAGACCCCCAGTGTATGCCTGGGGGTCATAGGGTATGAACATAGGGTATGCCTGAAACCTCAGATAGTACTGAACTCTATATATACAATGTTTTTCCTATACATACATATACCTATGATAAAATTTAACTTATAAATTAGGCACAGTAAGAGATTAGCAACAATAACTAATAATAAAATATACTGTAATAAGTTATGTGAGTATGGTTTCTCTCAATATATCTTATTGTACTGTACTCACTTTTTTACTTCAAGGAAGCACTTTATGGCTTCTCTTCAGCATACCTTAATTGTCAACAGCACTATTCTTGCACTCTGAGGCCATTATTAAGTTAAAAAAGGGTTACTTGAACACAGGCACTGCAATATTACAAAAGTTGATCTGATGACTAATGGGCAGATAGCATCTACCATGTGGAGATGCTGGACAAAGGGATGATTCACATCCCAGTCAGGACAGAGCAGGACGGCATGAGATTTCGATCATGTTACTCAGAATGGAGCACGATTTAAAACTTAGAAATTGTTTATTTCTGGAATTTTCCATTTTAATATTTTCGGTCTATGGTTGATCACGGGTAACTGAAACTGCAGGAATCAAAACTTCAGATAAACAGGGACAAAACTAATATTTTCTTCTTTACTATAGGGAAATGTGACATTATAAGTAAGGCATTTTACTGAGAAACAGTTGTAGCTACATTAAAAAATTGTCCTTTCCAATTTCCCTTTTCTGTAATTCATGCTCATCTTAGAATTTCCATGTTTTGCCTTATTTATTCTTATATTGATTAATTTTTTAAAATGTTTTCACTTCCCACTCTTAATTACCCCTGACCAAACTATTGATGCTAATTTTATTTCTGCTTTTTATTACACCATTCAAAGATTCCCCAGTCCCTGCCTCATACACTGTTAATTAATCTCCCTCATACCAACCTAGTCACAGGTACACTCCTAAAATTTGAAATTCAAAATAGAATTCTGTGTGGAAAGTACTCAAAATTTGTTTCCAGATAGGACTAGGTGGGTGATTCTGTCAGAAAATGTAAAATAACACTAAATCTACATAGCAGGTAAATTAGGAAGATAATCAAAAAAGACTTTAAACAATTGTATCCAGAGTTTTGTTTTAAATAGCAGAGACTATGACACATTTAAACTTTAATTTAGGATTAAAAGATTAATAGCTAAAATACTGGAGTCATAATTTTAAAATAGTAAAAACTAAAAATTTTGGAAAAAAATTCTATTTATTAAAATTCTCCAAAAACTTATTTTCCTGTTAATAGCTGTATTCCTTACAATGCAGATATAGTAAGGGTGGAAAAGAAACTAAGAAAGTCAGTTGAGAAAATGACAATCATTTGTTTTTCATCTAAACAATAAAACCATGATTTCTTGGTTAGGCTGAACCAATATTTTCTATCAGTTTCCTATGTAAGCATATGAAAAATCGAAGTAGAGAAGATATTTACATGTCAGTACATTTGGGATTTAGGTAGTCCTTATTTTTATTTGAATATTTTTTTTATCCTTAATTCTATTACACCTTTCTCTCCAGGCGTTCATAACACTGTTCTGAACATTTCTTGTTAGGATGTTGAACTTCACAAATATTTCATGTTTCACATTTTTTTCTTCCAGAGTCTTTCTCATCACAAACAAGGTAGATGTACATTTCTGTAAATCAGAATGATCTTTTAAAATTGGATTTTAATCAACATGTCTTCAAATGCCTACCTAGTACATGGAAGAAATAATGAAGGGTTCATGGACAAATAAGATGTGTTCCCATGTGGAAGGTAAAGTATTTGCAAGACAATGTTAAGACAAGTAGTAAAGTCTGATTTCATCAGGGAGGTGCACTGCATAAGTTTCTACCTGATAAGTACCTGACAGATAACAAACAGTCCTTGGCTTCCAGCATATCTCCGCTCTTTGTTCCTAGCTCAAAGCGTTGAGGATTAGCACATTGGCCATTCCTCTTCATCAGTTAACAGTCCCTAGTTCTCTCATTGTCAGAGCACAAGGAGAGAACATGGGAGATAGAGGTGCAGTTAAAAGACACAAACCCCGATGTTCATTGCAGCGTTATTCACGGTGGCTAAGACATGGAGACAACCAAAGTGTCCTTCAACAGAGGATTGTATAAAGAAGAGGTGATACATATATACATAATGGAACACTACTCAGCCATAAGAAAAGATGAAATACTGCCATTTGAGACAACATGGATGGACCTTGAGAATATTATGCTAAGCAAAATCAGTCAGTCAGAAGAATCTAAGAACCATATGATTTCACTCACACTTGGGATATAAAACTGAAACTCAGAGTCACAGACAGCAGCGTGGTGGCTACCAGAGGAAGGGAGTGGGAGAGAGTAGAGCGTAAAGGAAGCCAAATATATGGTGATGAAAGATGATTTGACTTTAGGTGGTGGGCACACAATGGCAGTATACAGACAATGTATCATAGAAATGTACACTTGAAACCAATATGATCTTATTAGCCAATGTCACCTCAGTAAATTTAATATAAATAAACAAACAAACAAATAAACACATTCACTGAAACTTGCCTGTCCACACAATAACGAAAGTTTACTGTCCGGTGGAAAAGGCAGATAAATCATTGAAAACCCAGTGTGATGGGGGCACTGGAGGATCCCAGAGAAGGAACATAGAAAGGATGAGGAATCTGAGGAGCCTTCCTAAACGAAGTAACATTTGAGATTTGGAGAATGAGTGAATATTAAGTGTTAATTTTAGTAGTAAGAAACAGAAATAATAGGGAGTATAAGAACTGTTTCATATAGTTTGTAAAGCTGGTGGAAAGGGTACATGAGGTAAAAGGGTACAGAACAAGGTAGAGAAGCTTGGGAAGAGCTAGTAAGCTATGCTAAAGCTTTTAGTATTCTGAAGACCTCAATAGTTTAGACAGTGATATATCACAAACATTTAGGTTTCAGAAAGACCTCTCTGAAGACAGTGTGGAAAATGGATTCAAAGTTTGGACTAGAGGAAGAACTTGATGGTAGTAACTTCAGAGAGAACAAGCTGGCCTGGAAAAAGTCAGTGGCAGTGAAATAAATTTAAGTAGAACATATTAAAGTGTCAAAAACTAATTTTATTTTACATTTTAAAATCGGTAGTGAAAATTTTTTCTTCATTCATTCTTTTGGGGATTACACACAATGGTAAACAAAATGACAACCTGATTGTCTTATTGCACACTCTCCCTCTCTCATGTTGTTAGGTTATCAGACTTAAATGGAGCTCTGTCTGAAATAGTCTTTTATAAATTTTATTTGACATAACCTACCTAAATCATTCTTAATTTGCATCAGTTAAGACAATGGTTTTTAAAAACTTAAATTTTAAAAGAAATTGAATCAAGATTTTGAAAGAAAAATCACCTAGAGTTCCACCACCCTAAAACAACAACTATTAGCAAACATCATGTTGCCTTGCAATTTTCACTTCATAAATGCTCTTTTAAAAAATAGCTGAGATCTTCATCGTCACTTAAAATTTTGTATCCTGCTTTTCTGAGGACATTATAAATATTTACCCATCTTTCTATATAGTCACACAACCATGATCTTAAATGATTACACAATAGTCCATAAAGTAGATAGACAGTAATTTAACTTCTCTCCTATTGTTGGGTATTTGTGTTGTTTTTTTCTTTTGCTTTTATACATAACATAATAATGAATATCTCATACATATGGCTTTTTCCAAATCTTAGATGATTTTTTTTAATTAATAAGCTGGTGAAATTGCTAGATCATAGGGTATGATCATAGGGTCCTAACAATAGGACCCCTGATGCATATTGCCAAATTATAATATCCACTTTCTGCCATTACCACCCACAAGGCTAAAGATAGTATAATAAAATTTTTGACAAAGACGGACTTATGGACCTCAATTACTCATTCATCTTTATGTTTCTGAGCAGCTACCACAGGAACACTGTGTCCCCCAAGGACAGGAAAAAACAAATCTAAAAGCTGCAAAAAGAGAAGTGCAAAAAATAAAAAAGAGGGGGAGATTTTTGAATTGAGGAGAAACTGATAAGGGACAGGAAAAGGATTAGGCAAGCTGGTCACAGTCAGCAACAGACAGCGAGATGTGACACAATAAAAACTGGGTCATTGAGTTGGGACAGCCCTAGGACATAAAAAGACTGAAATGAAGTAAAGCTCTGGATTACTTTGTTCTTGAATATTGAATTTTTTCAGAAGCATGGAGCATGAAATATTATAGTGATAAGCCAAGATTGGAAACATAGCCAAGAAAAAGAGGTCTTTAAGGGATTGTTTAAAATGTGCTGAAGGAATAATTTGGTTTGGTGTTAAACGGCTCAAAAAGTAAATTGACATAAAGCTTTTGCATAGCAAA